CAATGGTCATGAGTTCTTATTAGCATTTCAAGATATAAGTTATAAAATTCAGTAATCTCCAAAGAATTCCTAACCTAATCAAACCTATAAAATGGTTTTTTTCCTCTGATGTATTTTGTAAAATACAGAATCAAAGCATATAACAACAGTCGTCACCAATAATTGTAATAGTAACAATGCTAAATTTGACATTGTTTACTCTTCATCGCCGAAATGACAAACTTATGTTATGTGTTTTAATTTTTTTTCTTCAACTATTATTCCAACCATTCTAACCTCTTTTAACTTTATGTATATAGATAGTAGCGGCCTGCTTGAACATCTGAGTTTTCTGTTCTTGCTATCTAGATATTTCAACAAGTTATTGACTTTTGTTCTTTTTAATACATGATTATGGCTATTCATAATGCATAACCTATTCAGGTGCGTTTCTGAAAGTTTACAGCTTTTCGTTGTACAAGTAACAAAACAGGCCCAATCACATATATCGTGGTTGTTGGCAATATGCATCGAAAAAAATGTACATTGTTTAGATGTCGATTGATTGGACTGATAACATCTAACTGACGATCAATCAATATCTATCTTCAGTATCGACCAAGAAATATGAAACGGAAACTTGTAGTAATACATTGTGCTGAGAGTTCTATATTGTAGCAAAATTATAATTTAGAAGAAATTAAAAAAACTTAGCATCCAAACGTTTTTTACAGTCTGAGAAAAAAACCCTAGTGTATCAACAATTTTATCCAGTTTGATTTAAAATGGGCTCTATTTTACACAACAAATTTGTCAATTTATTTACTTGTAATACAATTTCTATTTCTCAGTGAACTTGAACTATTTTTGTTGTTGTACAGTTTTGTTATTCACATAGTATGATGACCGAAATTACTGCATATAACAGTTTAATGAGAGAAGGAGTAGGATAAAAGAATCGTGATGCATTAAAGATGGGAAAGTTTAAAATACATAGTGTGATAATGTTAAAACAAAATTATGCGTGTTTGTGTCAATCATTCGAATTGTTGTAGTCCAGAAAAGAAAATGACCCATTTTTCATTTTTTAAAAACGTAAATAGTTCCTTTTTTTATTCTATATAGGTCTATTGAATACAATCAGCTCTATTGGTGACCTTACATAGAACAGATTCGATTTATTGCACTACACTACGAATATCAAAGTAATTTACAAGCTAAAGCATAGAATAATATAAAAAAAGATAACAACAACATCTAAGTTAAAGTGCTGTAGATATCAATCTTATTAATCTTGTATAAGATGAAGTGATTTTAGATGAAGAATCATTAAAAACCAGTGAGGCACTAGACAACTATTGAATCTTACTTCAAATCTCCTTGATAGTATACACCCCTGAACTTATACGTAATCAAACTTAGGATAGTAATATTGAGCCACGTAGTCATAATTCACTGGTTTAGCTTCAGTTCATTGTTGATCTAGCTCAATTAGCGTGGAATTCCATTGGTGATATCTAACTGATTCTCCTGGATGACTGAACTTCACCAGTCATAACTTCTCAATAGAATTTTTAGAACCTTACTCCAAAGTAATCACTTGTAGTTGCACTAATATCAGCGTGGTTTTGTAGAAATTAATTCATTTTGAGAACATCAGTGGAGTATTTTCAACAAATCAATAATATTGTGATATATCCATGATGTATAATGTTGTGACTAGTCATAAGTAACTTACGATCAAATAAAACAAATCTTTTAACAAATCGTTCAGTCGCAAAACATATTCTGAAATATACCAACATGAACAACCATGTTGTTTCATTTTGATATATAGTGGGATATCCGTTTATCAGTTTACTGGCGCTTCAAGCTAGAAAATTCTTGCAGGGATCATGTGTAGATTTGGTAGTCTACACTGCTGAGATAAGTTACAGTAAAACAATAAAATTGTTCAATAATCTCTGGCATTCAGAACTTCTCCATCTAGTATCATTTCTTAACAACAAAAAAGCCACAGCCGAATTATAGGGAACTCATCACAAAACAGAACATTTTATATATGAGGATATGATGATCAGAAAGTTGAAAAAAGTAAAATAAATTCTAATAACATCCCTGTTAATCTTATGATTCGAATGTTCCATTCCGACAGGATCATGTTTAAAATCTTGACGAATAAATGTTTTTTTTCATTACATTAAAGATAATCAGTATCCCAACATAGAGATCTTTGACAGGAAAAAAAAATACTCCAACATAAATCATCATTTGTTTATACTTGTCCATTAATACAAATAAATTTATTGTAATTTCACAAAAGCCCCTTCTGATACTAATCAACATATGCTCACTAGTGACTGGCTTCAAGAGATATATTCTGGAGTTCTAGAGAGAAGCAGTGATCAGTGGAGTTCAACCGGGTCAGTTGTGAGGTAGTAACTCACTGATAACAATGGTGAATGTGTCGTTCAATTTCGTGGATTAGTTGAGAGTTAGACATTATCACCGTTGGATGTCGGCCGGCTCAGTGGTCTAGTTGGTTAAGCGCCTGACGCGAGACTGATAGGTCCTTGGTTCGATTCCCGCAAGGTGGGGTCGTGGATGCGCATTGCTGAGGAGTCCCATACTAGAACGAAACGTCCGTCCAGTGCTTCCAGGTTTTCCATGGTTGTCTAGCTTCAATTGACTCATTATCTCAACTATTGAAATTTCTACGATCTCCATAAAACGCCTTCTGATATTTATTGTAATTCACTAAACAAAACTATTTTCTTAATATAGAATCATTTCATTAAATCTTCATAACTTTTATTTACTTTTTATGTAATTGGTGTATGTCCAAAGGTATACCTATTCAGAAACTATAGACTTATATTGAGATGAATAGTTTCAGAAAAGGTACACAACTGTTTACTTTTTATTTTCACTGACTAAGATATGAGTAGTTATTTTGTAAGCATTAACTTCTTTTAGTCATCTACTTTATAATTATTTCCTATTACTTATTTATTTCAGCTAACTAATTTCATTTATTAACAACAGGATTATTTCAATGGTTGAGATTATGTATCAATTGAAGCTTAATCACTATGGAAAATCTAGAAGCACTGAATAGCCGTTTCGTTTTACTATGGGACTCATAATATCAACCATTTCTATATAAAGCTTACATTCTATCTGGATCTAAAGAAAACCTTCAAAACCCAGCTAAATATATACATATATTTGATAGGAATTATTTGAATAATGCAAATGCAAACTTTAAAAATACAGTTAAATGTTTCAGATGGTAAACACATTGCAAACGGTAACTAACTGTATCGTTTGTCTTTTTAAAAAAATTATCCTTCTAATATTTCAGTTTTTAGCTGTTAAATTCAAACAAAATAAAGCTAATAGAACTTAACGGTGATTTACTCTCATGTTATACAGATATTTTACTGCTAACCGATGAATAACACTTAATTATAAGCATGTGGTAGATATAACGGTGAATTAAGTGGTAAATATTTCAGTTACCAAAGAAAAGAAAAAAAGAGAAAAGAGAAACATATTGCGCAGTCGTGCATTATTCTAGCAACAGAAATATTAGTCAGTTTCTATTAATCTTTATTTACTTTATCTACTGGTTCATTTATTATCAGTCACAAGATAGTAATTCACAATTAATAAGTATGATTTGATCGTTTTCACGCTGAAATTATAATACCGACTATTGACAGTTTAAAGTATTTGTGAATGTATTTCATATTTTAAAAAGAATTTTTTAAAAAAAGGGAACTAACAAAGTTTACTGTGATGTTATGCACCAAAAAGGGGATATCAGTTTGTTATGTTAATTATATATATGTAAACTATTTACAAGTGGTTAACATAACTAAACTTTACCATCTTACCTATTGAAAAGTGAAGAAGGTTAATAAGTGAAAAAATAAAAAAAACTTCGGTTTCTTCATTTCATGTCAATGTTTTATTTAAATACAATTTTAAGTATAATGAAACAGGGTGAAAATGCGTTTACTTCCTGTCGGAATATTTAGTTACCTTAATTATTATGATATTTATTGTATCACATTTCAATGTAGGTCTAGTTTGTTTGAATAAAAATTAAAAAGAAAGGAGAATTTAAAAAAAGAAGAATAAAAAAAGAAATTGATGTAGATAAAAATTAAGTTAATTAGTACTTTATAATGAAGTGTAGTCATTTGATGAGAGTAGAATACTTTACGCTTCATTTATTCCAAATAAATAATTAACTATATTCTGTTTATATTTTATAGGTTAACTAACCACTAATCATATTCTAACTAGTGCATAGTTTAATATTCTATCTTTGAAAAGTGTAATAATTAACTAATTCTATTGTTTAATTTAATTTATACAATAATGGAAGCATTGTACATATCATTGTGATAGTGATGGAATTAACTTCATTATTGAATCAGAGGATACAGAATATCAATACAAGAAGAATCCTGGTGGGTGCGCTTATGCTCCTCGACGTGGAGTAACAGGCGTAAGTAAGTAAGTAAGTAAGTAAGTAAGTAAGTAAGTAAGTAAGTAAGTAAGTAAGTAAGTAAGTAAGTAAGTAAGTAAGTAAGTAAGTAAGTAAGTAAGTAAGTAAGTAAGTAAGTAAGTAAGTAAGTAAGTAAGTAAGTAAGTAAGTAAGTAAGTAAGTAAGTAAGTAAGTAAGTAAGTAAGTAAGTAAGTAAGTAAGTAAGTAAGTAAGTAAGTAAGTAAGTAAGTAAGTAAGTAAGTAAGTAAGTAAGTAAGTAAGTAAGTAAGTAAGTAAGTAAGTAAGTAAGTAAGTAAGTAAGTAAGTAAGTAAGTAAGTAAGTAAGTAAGTAAGTAAGTAAGTAAGTAAGTAAGTAAGTAAGTAAGTAAGTAAGTAAGTAAGTAAGTAAGTAAGTAAGTAAGTAAGTAAGTAAGTAAGTAAGTAAGTAAGTAAGTAAGTAAGTAAGTAAGTAAGGAAGGAAGGAAGGAAGGAAGGGGAGAGGAAAGAGTTTGAAGTTATGTAAGAACATTTCTTGAACAATACCTAAATAGAACCAGTTCTTAACAAAGCAATATTCAGAACATTTTAGTTTTAAAAAGTATTTATCATATATATATTTCAAATAGAGAAGATACTTATTCCAAAGGTCTAACACACTAAGTATTTAAAAATTTATTTGGTTTCTATAGCTTTGTATTTATCTATAATCCTTTTGTCAAGTATATTAATCAAGAGTGATTTTAACAATGTATTAGTTAGTTATGAAATACATTATTAACAATAGAGACTATAGTAGTTCACAAAATTTTTGAGCTATATTGATAAACACAGTAATATCTTTTAGTAAAGTTTGATGAAACAGATTTTATGTCGGTGACATGTTTATTGTTTCTGAATAACGAAAATTAAGAGTTTTGTGTAAAATGGTGCATGGAAGACAGCTGACAGACGCATTCCAAGTAAGGACCGGAGTCAGACAAGGCTGTCTACTCTCTCTCCTTTTTCTTCTTGTGATGGTTGATTGGATTGTAAAAACCTCAACATCTGAGAGGAAGCACGGAATACAATGGACGGCTTGTACACAACTACACGAATTGGACTTCGCAGATGACCTGATCCTTTTATCCCATACACACTAGCGAATTCAGGTCAAAACAATCAGTGTAGTAGATGTTTCTACATCAGTACATCCCAGCATACACAAGGGATAAAGCAAGATACTCAAATACAACACGGAGAACACCAACCCAATCACATTTGATGGAGAAACTGTGGGAGACATGGAAACGTTCGCGCATCTGGGTAGCGTCATCGATGAACAAGGGGGATCTGATGTAGACGTAAGGGCGAGGATTAGTGAAGGAGGAAGGCCAAAGAACATACTACACTGAGAATTAGAAGCAGATACGAATACGATGAATAGCAACAAGAAGTAACTGAAAAGAATGTCCCAGGACAGGGTTGTGTTGAGAGTGCTGGTGAGCGGACTATTGTCTTCCACGAGGGGTAACAGGCGTAAGTAAGTAAGCGCTTTGTAGTCTTAAAATAGGATGAGGTATTTCAACTCATATGAAATATGATGTTTCAGTCTTTTAGCTCACGACAAAAATATGCACTATTTTAGAATACTACCTATTCTACATGATTGAAAATTTACCGTCCCATAGGAAATTCGGTCGCGATTATGATTTTAAACAGTGACCATTTCGCGTGATTAAGTTTTTCTTATTTATTTAAAATATTTACCTTAAATCCTTACATTCCACAGTGATTAATAACCCACTACTATACTAAACAATAAGTAAACTATTAAATGTGCAAGTTTCACTAAATAAACCATGATATCTCTTTAAATAATAAATCAGTTAATAGTAATTTTCAAACAAACAAAAGATAAATAAAATGGTGGATAAAAATAAACTTTGTTGCCAACTCTGTTTCATTACAGAATGGCAGAAACAAAACACCATGTACAGTATACCATACATAAAATGTACAATATTGTGTTACTTTTCTCAGATTAAGAAAGATAATTAAAAAAAATACAGTTACATATTCATAAATCTACAAATTCGAATACAAAGAAAGAAACTGTTCAGATCCAACGAGTTTGAAGTTATGTTAGAACATTTCTTGAACAATACCTAGATAAAACTAGTTCTTAACAAAGCAATATTCACAGTAGTACGAAATGGCCGTCCAGTGCTTTCAAATTTTTCATGGTGATCTAGCTTCAATTGATTCATGATTTCAACTACTGAAATTACCATAATATCCACAAAAAACCGCTTTCGATACAATTCATATAGTTCAATGCATCATATCACTTTTATACTTAGACTATTCAACAACAATAACAACATTAGATGGAAAGTCCAATAGAGAAGTATGTCAAGAAGATTCTATGGAAATAGTCTTGTACAAAATCAATAACAAGAGAAGATATAAAATACTACTACTGATAAACTGAAACAACAAATTTCTATTTATAATTAATAAATGATTTTAACAATTAAGGAATGATCATAAAATAAATAGTAATAATATAATGATAAGATTATAATTTACAACAAACAATTAAGGAAAATAACGAAAGAGAGAGAGAGAGAGGGAGAGAGAGAAAAGAAAGAAACGTGTTGTTATGGAAGAAAACTAAATGAGAACATGTGGAAATATTTCTGTGTTGATCATTCAATAAACAATCCATTAGAACTATAACTTTTAGTTACATCAGTTCAATGTTAAATCATACATAATACTATCAAGAATGTATAGAAATATCTCAAATATAACTGAAAGATATATTAAGTATTTACTTATAAAACTCTATTCTTGTATAGGAAAAATCAAAATTCATGAATCAACAATTTATTTGATGATAGAACATATTTGTTACTTTTGGATATTATAATCGATTTTTTGTTTGTATAAGTGAAAATAAATCAGATATTAGTATATTTCATAATTCTAGTGATAACTCTCCCAATTATGTTACATTACTTTGTTTTCCCCCTGGTTACTGTTTACTTTCATAGTAAACAGTCGTAAATGAGTTATCAGATAAGTAATTTTGTGTTTTTAAAATGTGATATTCAATATTCGATTGCATACAACGTAATATAACTTGATCTATTGAAGAACTACAATAAAATTAAAAAAAAAATCATTTGGTTATGTTAAGTGAATATTGGTTCCTAGAATATTATTCAAGAATAAAGTAATCACAGCATAATAAAATCATATGGAATATATGTAATGTTTATACTCCATATACAAAGCAATAAAATATCAATGCTAGTTTATCCTTTCACATCAAATGAATCTGAATACAAGCTTATGCTTACTCTCATCGTTTCTCATTCTCTAAGTTATCGATTGGATCATGAAGACATCAGCGTCTGGAAGGGGGAAGCATGGGATATAGTGGACAGCTAGAATGCAGCTGGACGATCTAGACTTTGCACATGATCTGGTTCTACTATCGCACATGCAACAACAAATGCAAGAGAAGACAACTAATGTAGCAGCAGCCGCAGCAGTAGTAGGTCTCAACATACACAAAGGGAAAAGTAAGATTCTTCAATACAATACAGCATGCACCAATAAAATTACACTTGACGGAGAAGATTTGGAAGATGTAAAAACTTTTATATATCTGTACAGCACTGATGAACACGGTAGATCTGATGCAGGTGTGAAGGTGCAGAGCAGTATATCTACAGTTGAAGAACATTTGGAACTCAAAACAATTGGCAACCAACACCAAGGTCAGAATTTTCAATACAAATGTCAAAACAGTTCTACTGTATGGGACGGAAACTTGGAGAACATCAAAAGCCATCATCCAGAAGATACAAGTGTTTATTAACAGTTGTCTATGCGAAATACTTCGGGTCCGTTGGCCAGAAACTATCAGCAACAACGTACTATGGGAGAGAACCAACCAGAGGAAGAAGAAATTAGGGAGAAGCACTGCAAAAGAATAGGACACACATTGAAGAAAGCACCCAACTGCATTACATGGCAAGCCCTCACTTGAAATCCTCAGGGCCAAGGGAGAAGAGGAAGACCAAAGTACACATTACGCCAAGAAATGGAGACAGATATGAGAAGAACGAACAAAAGTTGGATATAACTGGAAAGGAAGGCTCAGGACAGAGTGGGTTGGAGAATGCTGGTCGGCGGCCTATACTCCATTGGGAGTAACAAGTGTAAGTAAGTAACTGTACAATTAGCAATTTGGGCACATCATTATTCCTTAATTCAAGACTAGTAACTAACTTTAACAAACAGTATAGCACGTAAATTTGTAGAACCGAAATTAAAGTTAATTTTGACAAGTTTATAATACCATTGATAATGAACTATTCACCTGTCTGTAATACTTTGAAGTTGTCATTTTATATTCTATTTCATATACTATCTTAGAAATAGTAAAATATCAGTTACTAATTATGAGTTATGTGCAAATAAGGTAGCAAACTTGAATAATATTATTCAACAAAGACATCACATTCAAGATAATATATCTTTATTTCTTACTTAGCTATAGTTTCTATCAGCTTCAAAGTTACATTTTTAGTCTTTTCATATAAAGATGATTCTCAACCTTCGATTATTCATTAAGGTATCATTAGGCTAATCAAAGAATTGAGGTAGAAAGCTTCTAACTGTATTACCAACACAAATGCATTTTATAATTGTTTTGTTTCAGGAGCTTTGTGGATAACTTATTGGTGTTTGTAGTAAATAGTTACTTCGTGTGAGAATATCAATTGCGGTATTAATGTATTATAGCAGCTCACTTGCAATTGAGTTTGTTTATATTTAATTTGGTTAAGCCTTTTTGTTAAGTTATTTAACGGGCCGAGCTATTCGTACAATAACTACTTATTTATACCATTGTACCTTTATTATTGTTGCGCCTGTTTGAATATTTATGCTTGAGCATTGCTTACCGCCTACGCACATATTCATTCTGCTAGCTTTAATTTTAGTCGCTTAATTGATTCGATGATTCATGTATTTCCCTACGTATATATATGTAGATTTTAATCCTATTCGTTGAACTCGCGCGCTCACTTGTTTTTCGACATTACCCTTTCATTATTGTTTCGCGTGTCTGTGGTTGTGGTGATCTGTGTGTCATGCAATAATAAACGCGATCAACAATTCGTACTCTTCTTCTGATTTATACACCGTTGGGGATATTATTTAATAACGGTTATCAGGACGAACTGTTTACGAAGTTTAAGTATTATATCGAATACTGACCACTACATTATATCCATTTAATAAGTTCTAAGCAGGATAAGACGAATATCCTAGGTTCCACTATAATCCACAATTTCAAAAAGATACTATAAATGAGTCTCTTGTTTTAAAATAATTAATAACTCTGAACTCATAATTGATGAGGTTTCCATTCCTAAGTTTGAAGAAAATGTAGGTCGAGTGTTATCTTATCCATTTATTAAAAGTAAATACACACAATATACACTGCCTACTTTGGATTAACACTTTTTTACATGAACGACAAGTTTTATGTCTAATTATGAAGAATTCACTTCCTTTAAATAAAATAATATATATCCCATATCACCTCACAGTGAAGGTAATGGGAATGGTTTCACTTCTGAACGGATTTCAAATCGATATCTGTCACTACTGAAGTCACCGATTAAAATTCAAGAAGATTGGATAGGCTTTTTTCTTCTTAAAAATTCTAACTATTCATGACTTTTTGTCACTTGATCTTTCAGGATAGATAGTAGTGGATAGAGTAGAAAAAAATATAATATGAATTTTCCAAGATCATCAGTTTTAGATATAATTTCAGGAGTCTTAACTGAAAGATGCAATTAACGTTAATCGTAATACTAATATTTAGTAAAGGGTATGTGTTGATAAACTGTACATCAATATGAATATTTAGTTCATTCAATATTTAAGTCCTTCTCTTTAGAATTGCATATTATCATTGATCATGTAATAGCTTGCACTAGGTGGTCTAGAGGCTAAGCGTTCGCTCGCGAGACCGAAGACCCTGGGTTCGAATCCCGCGGACGGACTCTTGGATGCAACCTGCAGAGGAGTCCCACAATAGAACGAAACAGACGTCCGGTGCTCTCAGGTTTTCAATGGTGGTCTAACATTAATCGGTTTATGATCTCAATCAAAAACTTAATAATCTCCCCAACCCCATACTCACATATAGTTATTCAATGAATCTTGGTAATTCGGACTTTATAAATTTATTCATATGAATTAGTGTGACTATTGGAAAGAATATTAGTATTATACATACATGTTTATTGTAGTATTTTATTAACTTACCTGTTTGTTGTTGCGTAGAGGTTTTCATGTAGTTAGCTGTAGGTATTTCTTTGTACCACCAAACACTAAGTGGATTCATTCAACTAGATATCTTCACTACCATTTAAACAGATAGTGTTTTCTTTATTTATTGGTATACAACAATATGATGATGTCACTTTTTCACTGGATTGATTTTCTTTCTGAATATGTTCGAAATGATTTCGTAACAATTCATCATAATAACATTTCATATAGGTTTGTACTTCGTGAATGGGTTGATTATTTGAATCCAGTAAATGTATGAATGGTATTTGATTTTGTGAAGTACAATTACCATTGTTAAACTGGTTAGATGTATTAATTTTGGATTGAATTTCTACAGAATTATAAAATGAACATGGCAAATTTTTAGGGCAAGTGAACGCTGTATGTTTTTTTTTGTATGAATCGGCTTCTTTTGCATATATGTTACTTGGAATGTCAACATTTAATCTGCACGACTTATTATGATTTGTAATGCTAGAGGAATTTCCTACATTCATGTCATGAATCATACAAAGAATGCATGAAATACACTCGGGAATAGATTTAAATTTATCATATTTTTGCTGGTTGTCAAGTTGCGATGATGAATCAGTAGAGCTATCACATGAAGGTATTTCTAAGTTACTAAGTATATTAGGACAGGGATTATCACTCTTCTGTTCTGCTTTTGATACTGGAGTTGTTATTTGACGTTGTTCTGTATTCAGTAGAGAGGAGATAGTAAATTTATTCAAATCTGAATTCAATTTTAACTGACGAGATGGATTCATTTGTTTCGGTGATTGTAACTCCAACTCCTGATTATACAATTGCAATGAATCTATTGTACTTGGGTAATTATTAAGTTTCTCCTTTTGTTTTAGACGAGAGAAAATAATTTCATCAGAAGTATTGGGAATATGTGAGCTAGTATTAAAGAGTTTTGGATTTGAAAAAGGGGAAGAAAGTGTGAGGGGCTGCTCCATACCTACAGATTCATCACATATTGGTCTATGTAAATTTAAAGATACATTATTACTATCTAATTGGTTTGTATTTTTAGTAGAATTCACAAGAGCTGAATACAAAGCGGCTATCATTAAAGACTGAGCCTCGTCAATTTTAGGAACCTGTTGAGAAGATAAGACAATAAAAGAAATGCTATATATCGATAATTCAACATATGATTGAATCAATGAGAATTGTAAATCTTAGTGTAATCCAGAAAATAGCTGTTTCCTTTTGTTAAGTATTTTGAAATCGAATCAACTTATACCATTTTCTTTAGAGAATGAATAAAACCATCAAACAGTCATCAAAAAGTTTATTGCACCAATGTACATGTATGATTCAATACTTGTTCTAACTAGATAATTTCTGTATTTTAAAATGACTTCACTTTTAATAATAATATTATTAGACAAATGAAGTTCAACCGGATCTGTTGTGAGATAGTAACTCACTGAAAACAATGGTGGATGTGTCACTCAATTTCGTTGATTAGTTGGAGTTTGACATTAACACTATTGGATGCTAGCCGGCTCAGTGGTCTAGAGGTTAAGCGTTCGCGCACGAGACTGATATGTCCTGGTTTTGAATCTCGTGAGACGGAATCGTAGATGTGCACTGTTGAGGAGTCTCATACTATGACGAAACGACCGTCCAGTATTTCCAGGTTTTCCTTGATGATCTAGCTTCAATTGACTCATGAATTCAACTATTAAATTAGTATAATACCCAGAACCCCCTTTCTGATTATTGGACAATTATTTAATACCTTGCTCATATTAATTCATATTACTGATTCACTTAAGCCTTTATATGCTTCATTTGCATTTAATAATACACATATAAATAAATAACTATAAATTGTCCACATGTAGTAAATCATTACATTTACCAGGTAATAATCAACTTAATGCCGCCTAATTTTGGAAAGCAACTTCAGAATCTTTCATACATTCTAAGTACAATATATTTTAGATGTTGAAAAATGGTAGAAGTTATTAACGAATTGTGTCGAATAAAATTGTGAATAGAAAATTGTCTGTCTTATTTATGTTTTTTTAATTGACTTTTACTGACTGCCTAACTTTAAAAATATTGATAATGGATGGTGGCTACCAGTGGAATCCAGGATGCAAGTTTCGTTTTATTCCGAATTTGTAAGCTGGATGTACCTTTATCCCAGAGTTGATGTTCATTCTGGGACTCGAACCCAGTCCATATGCCAATATGAGACTGAACACTTGCAGTTCTAAACATGAATGGGAAAACTCAAACAACCAGTACAAAAATGAATTAATGATAATAGTGATTATTTTCCATTTCTTTTGAAATTGGGGCATACACATCTATTGACTACAATACATCCATATACTTCAATCAAACAGTTCTTGATGAAATTCTCACTTCTGATGAGAAACACATGTATATATGTATCTATCTATGTATCTATCCGATTACTTGACATTTCTGTTGGTATACCAAATAGACAAACAATTGTTTATGTTAGGTAACAACATTTTATAAAAACAGCTAGTGCTTATTTCACTGGTAATATAGTATAAAAGTCAGCTAACATACTGGTTATTACATATGTAACAAACACTTTTGTAAGAATAACAGTGACATCTCTCCGATCATTAAGACCCAAATGATATTAATGGATATGAAAACATGAGAATTACTTGACATGTAAAGATGAGAAATAACTCTTCAACACAACATATGTGAAAAACAAACTGAATCGTTGCAATGCAAATTATTACTTAACTTTGAAATGGTCTGGATTATCCTATTGTTGAAATTTTCGATTGAAATTTGGTCAGTCTCTTGTTGGCATATATGTGTGCTGTGCAGATTACCTCGATATAACTATTATGACACAAGTTTATGAAGAATAAATGGAATGGAAAAGTCAGTGGATATCCACAGCTAGTCACATTTCATTTCATTTTGAATTAAATGTCATACTCATTGAGCAAGTGAATGGCTATGTTGACTCAGTAGTTAAGTGGATAACACAATGTCATTTGAAGCAAACGGTGTTAGGCTCAAGTCCTAGAGGGAACATGAACTCTGCGATGCAGGCACACGCAGTTGACGAATCCGAAACAGGACGAAACATAAGCTCTGGATTCCGCTTCTAGTCACATTCCATCTATTCTATATAATTCGACTGTTATCTGTACTAGTATTTGAACATACGCTCCAAGTTTTATGATGAAAAAACTGAATAAATATAATTTTAATAAACATAGGTCTCATGAGATTAAACTTACTTTTGAAAACGTGGGATCAAATCCAGTTGACGTACTGTTTGCATGACTTGTTGTTGTATTTACAGATACTCTTAAACGTTGATTTAGTTCATTAACAATATGATCATGCTCCATATATTCCGTTGTTAAATGAAACTGTGAATTTAAATATCCTTTGGCCATTTGACTGCTGTCATAATCGTTTATCTCGTTGTCATTTTGAACGTGAATATTTTTACTGAAAAAGTTTACGTTACAGTTACCTGCAGCTAAACTTTCATTACTGGTTTTAATGGTGTCTTCATATGAATTAGAGGTTGATTCCATAAATCCATAGGATTTGTCTAAATTTTGAATATTAGAAAAGGATTTTGTTTGTACAATCGATGATAACGGTAATGAATTCACTGGCTCCATTGATTTATATGTCATTGGAGTAAATGATTTTCTATAATTTATATTTAAATTGGATGATTTAGAAGAAGAAGAGAAAGGACGAAACGAAGAGCAATTAATAGTTTGAACATTTGGAGATAATAATGATTCTGTCGAAATCATTGATGTATTTACTGGTTGATTATTAGAAGATAATAATTGCATATTGATTTCTATAGGATTATGCTGACTTGAATGTATAGAATAATCAAGAGGATCCATTGATCCATCAGATGATGATTTGACAATAGGTAATAGACTTTCAGCAATCTTTAAGAGATTAAACCAATCTTCTGGTAATGCTGATGATAAATGATTGAAATCAAAACTGTTTATAACCTCTTGATACATTTTCGGTAGATATTTACTTTCATCAGAAGATAAATATTGTTTCATTTTAACATTTGAATTGACTACCTCATGAAGTTCATCAACTGAATCTTCACTACTCTTATAGTATACAGATTGTGAATTTGGTGTATAACATAATGGAATATTATTTAATTGATTCATATTTTTAAGAAAAAGATTTCTATTACTTGTTTGATTCATCAACCGATTAGAAGTATTGAATAGAAGTTTCTGTGAAGATTCTTTTATCTTTGGTAAATTTCTATTCAAATTACATTTATATGAATCATTGGATTTTTGTATGAATTTACATGGATTATTTATGATTGAATTGATGTTTGTATGATCTATTAAATTAGATTGTTTAATTAATTGATTAAATAATTCTCTTTTATCATGATCATACATTTTTAATAATTCTGGATGTCTTCTAACAACATGACGTTTTATTGTATCTAATTTTCTTTGAGTCATAACTTTATGACAAATAAGGCACATAACCTAAAGATTATCAACAAAGGTAACACAATATAATTTACTGAATTAAATTTTAATATTAGATGAGATTTTTATAGATATTATAGTAACTTCAGAAGTGAAGATCATGAATCAATTGAAGCTAGATCATCATGGAAAACCTGGAAACACTAGACGGTCGCTTCGTCATAGTGTGAGACTCCTCAACAGTGCGCATTCACGATTCCGTCTCACGAGATTCAAAACCACGACATATCGGTCTCGCGCGCGAACGCTTAACTTCTATTGTGAAACTCCTCAGCAGTATGTATCTACGAATGTCCAGTGCCTCCAGGTTTTCGATTGTGTTCTAACATTGATCGGTCCATGATCTTAATTAAAACTCGAAAATCTGCACAACCTTACATTGATAATTATCATGTGTTCATTAGTGACTAGCTTTGAGAGTTCTAGTGAGAAGCTGTGACCAGTTGATTCCAACTGTGTAGGGTGTCAGACAGTTACCCACCAAAGACAGTGGAAATTGTGGATTGATTGAAGCTAGACATTAACACCGTTGGATGCTGGCCGGCTCAGTGGTCTAGAGGTTAAGGGTTCGCGCGCGAGAGTGATAGGTCCTGGTTTCGAATCTCGCGAGACGGAATCGTGAATGCGCACTGCTGAGGTGTCTCATACTATGATGAAACGACCGTCCAGTGTTTCTAGGGTTTCCACAGTGGTCTATCAATTTATCAATGAAATACTTATAAAACACAATAGATGATTTCGTTCACCTTTGAAAATGTTCATTACAAGTATATAATGTAAATAATAATTTCTATTCACTTCTGGAAGACAAACATATATATATGCATAAGCCAGATTGACAAACAAAAACGAAAGTCATCTATATGAACAAATGCATAATAATCAACTCCAGTTGTTACCATGTAATAAACTAATGTTTTATAAAATAGTATGATGTTTGAAAGTAGTTAAGATACATATTACCTAACAGAGAGATAAATAATTAATTATACTCAGAGATGGGTTTTGTGGATATTATAGTAATTAGTAGTTGAATTCATGAGTCAATTGAAGTTAGACAACCATGGAGAACCTGGAAACACTGGATGCTCGTTTCATTATAGTATGAGACTCCACAACAGTGCGCATCCACGATTCCGTTTCACGAGATTCGAAACCAGAACATATTGGTCTCGTGCGCGAACGCTTAACCCCTAGACCACTGAGCTGGCCAGCATCCAACGGTGTTAATGTCAAACTTCAACTAATCGACGGAATTGAGTGACACATCCACCATTGTTTTCATTGAGTTACTATCTCACAATTATATTATTGACTAATAGTTTACGAAACTTATTAATATAATTACTGAGATGGTCTACAATTGTTTATATTGTTACATTACTTTTTTAATGTATGTCGTTCATATGTTGATATTTTCAGCATTGAGCTGTACTAAGTATACGAGAGTTGGTGTTATTATCCGGCTATGCAAGTTGAAGTACGTTCATAAAAGGTTTGAACCTCATAACTATTGGTTGTAGGCTAATTGTTTGACCATTACACCACCCCTTCTTTGATGTGAAAATGATGAACTGACTCAGTAACAAATTCAAAAGAAGACTTATCACTCTAATACTTAAAGTCTTTGAACAAACAACTTGTTCGCCTCAAACAAAACTCCGGCTACTTTGATTTAGACAGTTACAAGAGTCGTGACGGTTGTTGATTATTTTCTCATAGTTAGTGATATTCTCTCAATATACTTTTCTAATGAGGAAGTCTATTTTCCAAAGAAAAAAAATCGTTCCACTTCACAAGAGAATACCGATCGTAACCTACACCTTAATTCAAATCCATTATTTCTAATAAAGTAAAGTATATCTTTGAATTAAAGGTTATACTGTAGTCCTCTAAAATCCTTCTCGTAATGGTCATCTTCATCACCGACACTAAGACTAACAGATTCTTCTTTAGAATCATCATTATATACATTGAACGAACACTATACTATAGATATTATATATTTGTGTATAAAATTATAAATCACCAGTTTTCAAGTGACCAATTAATGTCAATAAATAAGATTCATAAAACGGGGGAAAAATTAGGCGAAGGCATAAAAAATAATATAGGACTACCGTTTTTTTTTCTATCTCACTCTCTCAGTCCGTCTGATTTTGCACATTCATCCATGGCCTCTCCCTTTAATTTACCCCGACATTTTTACCCGAATACATTTTCTTGTCTTAGGTTTTCTCCCTTACATTTTTTCGCTAATGTTTATTATTTTTCATACTTTTCTCTATGAATTGTAAAATTTTTATTACTTTTCTAAGACAGTAGAATTTATGAGACTTTTGTTTGGACTATGTATATGCCGTACTATATATTCGAGAAGAAACGTGGATTATTGGTAGTTTTCTTTTTCATCTAAGAATGATTGGAAATCATAGAAAATAAGAATAATGACTGCTTAAGATTGGATTTTCTACTTTTTACAGTACTGAATGCGCAAACATGAGAATGTGTGTTAATATTTACTAAAAATCTTTATAGATAGTTCAAAGATACTACTACTACTACTACTAATAATAATAATAATAATAATAATAATAATAATAATCATAGCTATCCATCAACCGTAATAAATGATTGTTCGTATGTGTATCTAAATGTTTTTTAAATGCAAAGAAGTACACACTCCAATTGCAAGTTCTGCAAGCAATAGTAATAAAAGTAGTATTGACGTTAAAGGCTGATTAACAACATTTCTAATTAAACTCGTTCTACTACTACAATTACTAGTATTACTACTACTACTACTACTACTACTACCACTACCACTGGTAGTAGAAATAATTTATCATATCAGTTTATTTGCCTAAAATTTTTTATAAGTCAACGGAAACGGCTTTTAAGTAAGTTTTTGGATAAGGGGGATATTTTCTTTATGAATTGGTTATTCAACTACATCAAAAGCTTAAGGGAAGTCGCCTTAATAAGTAAATATTTGTGTATTTGGTTTTAAGTCACAATTTGTGTGAAGAACAGTGATTCTACCTGACTGCTAAAACTAAATTAAGCAGTGCAGGGTTTGACTCTGAAACCTGTTAAATGAAAACCTAGTAGTTTAACCAATTATTCACTGTTTCACCATTATGATATTTGGTACCTTTTTGTTTGTATCAATGAATTATTCTTCCTTATTGGGTTTTCGATGAGAATAGATGTCTCTTCATCCTGAATACTTTTATAATGATTATGTCTACTGATATAAGAATAAAGACATTCTTTTCCCAAATGTAATGATCACAAAGGCCTCCAAAAAATCTAGACATTTAACTATCTATCATTTATTCAACTCATTTTGCTAGGTTCTCATTTTGATGAAAAGTTAAGGGTTCATACTAAATCAAAGTTAATGAAAATGATGGTACTATGGTGGACGCTACTCATAAGGATGTTTGTAAGTAGTGTGTATCTGAACGTGGCGTTGAAGTTGTAACAACTATGGAAACTTCCATTGCATCGAAAACACGATTTGGTAGAACACTTAAAGACTAGAAGAGAAGACGTTTGACAGTATTGGTAAGTTGTAAACCGTCCCTTCTTTACGAAATACTGTTTTATAATAAGTACGATTAAGCTATTTGATCTGAATTGTGTTATGAATATACTAGCAAATCAATAGTGACAACAGTTATCTGAATTTTCTGGGAGCTCTTATCATGAGTAATCAGTTGCTCAGAGTATCCATGTTAATTTCATATCGGGTTAAAGTGATTCAAACTATTTGGACTTTGGACTTAAAATCTGATAGAATCTATCCGTCTTTCAGTATCTAACTGAGGGACTATCATCGGATAATTAAAGAGGACCTATGTCTAATTTATGAACGTTGCATCATGGATATTAAATGACTAATATCACACAGTAAAATAAATAATTGCCAACTTAATCTTCATCATGGCACTTGAATAGGTGGTTGAAAGCTATAGTACTTCGAGGCGCTATCAGAATTCACTACAAATTAATTACTGATGAGTTCGTTCCGAGGACCTCTAACTAAAATTTCAATTCATTTATTCAGTGATCAGTGATGTATTTAAATTCACTGTCACCTGATACTCTGTATGATATAACCAACAGGCTTTCAAGAATAATAAAGCAAGCTGATAGGCTTTAGAGTTTAGTTGCCTTTAAACAAAACTTAGTCGTAAAGCTGTGATGTTCATTAAGAGTTCGGGTTTGCATCCGTAAACAAAAAGGTTCCTTGCCAGTTATTCTTATCCAGAATGTAAGACCAAGTTTTTTCCATATTTTACCTCTATTAAACTGAACTTTTTACAATAATATGTGAGTGACTATTTATTGTTATTACTGTTACTTTTTGGTCAGATTTTCCATTGAGATTCTCAAATCCGCATACCTAACTTTATGATAATAATATTGTGATCAACATTTATAGAGGAAATTATGGATCATTGGGGGCAAACTCGGTTAGTAAATGTTTATTCGATAGTCATTTGTCAGTATCATTAAAAATGACCAATCTATAAAAAATTGTTTTTACTAGAGAAGGAGACAGTTTTAATTGTTGCGCAATACGTCATCAAGAATTCTTACTTCTACTAATACAGAAAACTAGTTATCAAGTAAGGAAAGTGGATTATCATTTTCAACTTACTTCATGAAGTCCATGTGGTATAACAAGCCATAAATGTTTCCATTCTTCACGAAACCTTCGTCTACGATCTTTTTCACGCCATGATAAATATTTATAAGCTCCTGTTGAAACAACAGCATTTTTCACATTGTTTTGATTATCACTGTTAGTTTTACCTTGTTCATCTTCGTCATTGTTCCATGGGCTGTCTTTGGGAGTGGAATAAAAAGTCATATCTATTGTTTGTTTGTTGACGCTATTTTTTTCAAGTGTGGGACAATTTTTATCTAATTTCGATTTTTTACCATTTATTGAATTCCCATCTTCATTTACAGTATTTTGATTTAAAGAATATGTTTCCTTTAGTAAATTATGTGTTAATGAATGATTAATAGTATTAGCGTGAATAACCTCAAACCTGTCATTGATATGTGTATTATTATTACTGATAGGAATACTGATTACATTAGGTTGATTAAGGCCCGTAATCTTGTTGATTCCTGCTTTTATATATTTTCCAGTGTATTTCCTAGAAACACTAGAATGGTTTTTAGAATACTTTCGTTTTGATAAAAGTCCGCCATCATTTTCATTATTTGTAGCATAACATACAACTGGTTGGGAAGTGCATTCTGATTTCCTTAAGGAAGATGCATTGTTATGATTAAATTTGAAGCTGTTCGAAAATTCGAGTGATGAATTGCGATTGTAATTTGATTGCTGATGAGCTGTTACTTTCGGACTGGTAGATGTTAAACATTGATAATCAATAAAATTGGAATGTATGGAATAATCAAGAGGATTATCAGTCTTGTTAACTGTAACATTGTTAGGTAAACTCATTTTCTTGACTATATCTTCATGTATATTTGATTCGACAGTATAAATGGAATTGCATTGAGATGTACATTCAGAGAATGTAACTTCAATAGGTGACCAAGGTGTAAAATATCCTGTTTGATTCTCATTATTACGATTAACAGAAAAACTACCATTAAATGATCGTATAGGTGTATGATCATTTAGTGCTGATAAAATATATCTGTGACTTTCTTTTAGGCTCATAGATTTATCAGAAAATAGTGACGATGTTTTGATAATATCTTGATTTGTTGTCATTTTGAATCGAAACTCAAGGTGTGATTGTGAAATATGATGCGTTTCCTTGTGAATCTTTTTTACGAGAGAAACTGAAAAGTAAGTGGGTGAAGTAGATTTATTAAATTGATAATAGACTGGCGTGAGATATTTAAAACAAAATTCCCTAGGCTTTTTTATTCCGCACTGCGAATACATACTCATTGAACCTCATAAGAGAGCCGCTTAATCTCGGTTAAGTCGAATGCAATTATTTATTACAACTGCAAATAATATGAAACAGATTTAAGTGGACATGCGAATAAAGCTCATACTGCATACTTAGACATACACAGTTTTATGAAAATGACTTATCAATGTAGTATCTGAATGATTAAATGCTGGAAATTCGTTGACAAGTGACATAAACAGTTTTGGCTTCATACTAGGTGAGTTGGATGCAATGAAACTTGTAAAAGATCAAAGAATACGTCAAGATGCACGACAAGAATGTTATCAAGCAGGAAGATAGGAATACCCACTTAGCAATGCACTTAAAATAATGATTCGTTTGTAAATAGTGATAATTACTAAACTCAGGTTGGAGGATCTTCCTGGCATACAACGGTTACTCAAACGCTGCTGGTTTTTATTGGAAGGATTTCTGAATTCTTGAGATATAAATTTCGCACCTATACTATTAGGGAAATCAGTTTCCGAGTAAATGAAGATAAGTGGTCTCCTATTTTTGTTAAATCGGAATAAAAATGAGTTTCGCGTTTGTTACGTCAAACGTTTGGTCTAAACCTATGAATAACAGTGGATCATTTAAAGACGAGAATAAACTTCTATGAAGGCATACAAACGTAACTACCTACTATTTTCAATGACCTGACAATGCTTCAAATCTGTTAAACATACTCTGTTCATAACTGTCATACATTAAAATGCAATGCTAAGGTGAGTTGCTAGGTTATTCATGAGCTTTGATCATTGATAAAATTTTAAAGAGATTATCGGCCAGAAAATGAATCATTATTTAAGGAATGTTTTTCTCTTTACCAGAACTTTTATTTTCTATCTATCACAATGTCATTCTGGTGATATTGTGTCTTCGTTGCAACCCAGTGATAATCTTAGACCACCACAATGAAATGGTCAAACTGAAAAGCTTCATCATCAGAAAACGGTTGATTCTGCACATGTATGATTATGTACACAAACCATTTATATGACTTTAAAAATTTGCCGTCATGTTAGGCAACATTCTCTGAAAGTGATATAAAACAGAACTTCTTCGTTTTCAATCCCTATATCTGTTAGGTCGTAATCCAAAATAACTAGATTATCTTAAATTACTAATAACAAGTTGTGTTAAAGTGAACCAGTTGATTAGTCAGCTAATCAATCCCACCAACTTATGCTTATGGAATGACACATTGAACAGTGAACTTGTTTATTGTAGTTTGTTTATCATATCTTAGTATCCTATCAAGTTCTCTTTAATAACCCAAAATATCAAACTGTTCGAATCGTGTTAAATGATTATTGAGACTAACCCTAACCTATGACTACTAGAGTTAAAACCACTAAATCAGGCGAAATAGAATTTCGTCACTGAATGTAAGTAATCTGAAATTCGATTTCTTAAATGAGTAAGAATGTTCAAATTATATAGACTTTTACTTTAATATATGAATAAACGCTTCTTTTAATTAATCTAAGTAATGAACGAAAGTATAATATCAATTAATTATAAAGTAGTTTTCCATACATCCCATGTATAGAAATGACTAGATAATCAAATAATAGTGTTTTATAAATACAATGGTGCACGGTGGCGCAACTTCGTGGATTGGTTGAAGTTATACACTAACACCGATGGATGCCGGCTCAGTTGTCTAGTTGGTTAAGCGCCTGGCACGAGACTGATAGGTCCAGGGTTTGAATCTCGCGGAGTGCAGGATCGTGGATGCGCACTGGTGAGGAGTCCCATACTAGGACGAAACGACCGTCCAGTGCTTCCAGGTTTTCCATGGTGGTCCAATATTGATCGAATCATTATTTCAATCAAACTCAACAATCTCCATAACCTTATACTTATAAATAAAATTATCAAGACGAATACAAAGGAATAGTAGTAGTAGTAGTAGTAGTAGTAGTAGTAGTAGTAGTAGTAGTAGTAGTAGTAGTAGTAGTAGTAGTAGTAGTAGTAGCAGTAGTTTCGAGGTTAGTAAAGAACAAAGCTAACACATGTGTTTCATTACACAGAAAGAAATCCCTAAGATATTCATATATGCATGGTATCTGATAAATTTACAAATAACAATACAGACAATGCTGAAACTTTTCCCCTTCAACGCTTTTTTTTTCGTTTTTCTTTCTATTTTCATCTGTTCTGTTCATCTTATGATCAACATGATTTTCTATAACTAGGTGTTTACCTTGTCACTACACACATAATTGTTTCTTATTTATTATTGGTTAATTTACAAATATTTTATACAGTATTTCATTTGTCTATCCATTTTATTATTGGTAGTAAATTAATCAACACTGATTAACTAGTCAATCTTATACTGAAGTGTAAGACTAGACATTCTGGCGTTCAATCAATAAATCAGTGTTCATCTATTCTTGAAAAGAAAAAGAAACAGGTGATCAGGGTACTTGTTTATATACGTATGTAAGATGGTTTACATATATAAATAGTGGTATTTGTAATATGTCAATAATTAAAATACATTGTCAAGTTGTTTTGGTTAACTTTCATATCATAGTATAATACATCTATCTATATAAAAATCTTATGACACAGTGATAAACGTCACTTCTTCATAATATTAACTTTACAAAGAGTATGGTAACGACAATATACTCAATCAACAAATGTTTCTACATATGTACTTTTTGGAGAACAGGTCATAGATATATGAGGTCTATGAAAAATACGATTATATATCATTTAGACGGGTATATCTAATGATTTAAAGTCAGACCAGCATTCTCTAACCCACTCTGTCCTGAGCCTTCTTTTCCAGTTCTATCGAATTTTTGTTCATTCTTCTCATGTCCGTCTCCATTCCTCGGTGTAATGTGTTCTTTGGTCTTCTCCTTTTCTTTTGGCCTTGAGGACTCAACTCCGTCCGGAGCCCCTCTGGGGCTACTGCCGGTCCCAAGTCGGGATAAAGTAGGAGGGTTGGGCATGGGGTTAGCGACCTCATGCCGCAGAAAAATAATTCGCTAAAAAACGCTAACCAAAGTGTTATAACCTTAGACTAAAGTTTTAAATACTTACAACTAGTTTATCTTAGTACCATACAGCTCTATCTATCTTCGTACATAAATGTTATACCTACTCGAAAAACATTGTTTTAGTAGTAGTCGATTACTTTCTATCTTAATATATTAGTATTTTATGGTAAAGTGATGAAATCATAATGACCTAAGTGTTTCTGTTTAGTTTTGACTAAGTAGGATTCACTGTTGAGAAATTTATGACGTACGTTATTAGATGAAAAATATCAGTTTGATAGGTAGAACGTCATAAAAACCATACTGAATAATCACACTACAAAAGTTCTACATATTCATTATATTCAGTATCAAAAATTGGAAAAAGTAAAGCACAGTCAAAACTCTTTATTTCTTTGAAATTCATACAACAAATGAAGAACAATCCGAGTTTAACTGTATCACTGTTCTCATTGTCTATAGATATTGCAATAGAAAAAATTGCAAGGGTATACATCTAAATTTAGAAATCTCAAAAGAAAATATGATGACATTCCATGAAAGCTCAAGGAAGTTTCATAAAGAAAATGATACGGTGGATAGTCAAGTTTTAACCTCATTGATTAATAGTTGGTCAGTGAAATCAATTATTCTCTAAAAATGTTTTCAAATGACTTTTGTTTACACTTATTTGATGAAACAGATAATTTCTATCTTTATAGTTCAAATTGTGAAATGATCTTATTTACACTAATATTGAAAATCTGAGAACATTGGATGCCTATTTTGTCCCAGTGTGAAACTCTTCGGCAATGTGCACCCACGACCCCACATCTGACCATCAAACTCAGGATCTTAGGTTTCGGGCGCGAGCACTTTGCTTCTAGACCACTAAGCTGGTATTCGAAGGTCATCTAGCTCTCTCAGTTTTATAATGATGGTCTAATAATATCGCTTTATCATTCAGGCTATGACAATTTTACAATCTCCACAAATTCTTCTATGCTAATAAATATTTATTTTATTGGAAGGATATAAGATATCGTTGGGCATTTGCTTGTTATGCTTCGATTTTTATTTATTCGAGGACTTGCAAATGTTTACTCCGTTTATTCAATAAATCATTGCTCAATCATAGCTCCATATCAATCCATATAACTAATCACACATACACATGCATTATACTTATTCACTAAATGCATTTCTTTTCCTGATAAGTTAGATATAAACCAACTAACTTATAAAATAAATTTCAGGTTTTGATCCTTATTTTAGTTTTGTGTGTAACTTTCATTGAAACATGAGATTTATATCTAAGTGAATATGATACAGTTTAACTCGGATTGATTCACAGAATTATAAGTCATCGACTAATTTTGTAAGTTGTTCATTACATCCAGTGTATAACTTTTTATTCAAGTTCTCAATACAGAATGTTACAATAGAGGAAATCTGCAGTACCTCCCTATTTTAGTGAGTTTTCTTTGAAGAATATCTGTAGACAGTGGGAAACACTGTCATTTCAATGTTTCAGTCGACTAAAATAACAGATAACATCAAGAAGACAACAAAGCGTTATCCCCTAGTGAATGAATGATATTGATGAGAATAATCACATGATATGTCTTACCTATTCTCGTCTTTCAATTTATTTATGTATGAATTTGTGGTTTATTTATACACCAGACGGCTATTGATGGTTAGTTAAAAAAATACAAATAAGGTAATCATGATAAGGTTAAAACAAATAAAAATGCACCCTTTTTGTTTTGATCAAAGCACATATATACACGTAGAAAGTGGAATGATGAACTTTAGTCTTTCTTTTATCAATCAGATGATCAGAGACGTAAGTAATGAAAGTATCTAAAAAAAATAACAAACATGGTATTCTCGTATAACAATTGAATTGGTGACAAAAAGCTAAAATCATTCGGCAAAATATGAGACAAGAGAATTTTAGATTACAACTTCTTATTCCACCAAACCTCTTTGTTTATTGTGTGAAGTTTGTAATTTTTGTCTTAAATATGGTGAATTTTCTTTGAATAGACACATTTTATGTAAACATTGATAGTAGATCGCATTGCTGGAGCTGAATAGTCAAACATAGGTAAGATCAAAGATTTCAAAAGAAAAGGTCATTCTGTCAACAACAACAACAAAAAAAAAAAAACGACTAAACAGTAACTTGTTTTATCTACAGGTGCCCATATATGCGTTTTCGGACATTAAGTGATTGATGAGCTAACTCTTAAAGTTAAAAGAAAGGCTGTTTTACTTTAGCACATTCTCATTTTCTGTTTTAAAATAGCCCCTTGCATAAAACTGATACAGTACAGTGTTTATTTAACAGTTGGACAAAAAAATGGTGATGGGCGTAATGCTCCAGTTATTAGTTTTGTTTTATAATATTCGCTAATTTATATGGAATATTCGTGCTTTTTTGAGTCTTTACAAATATGTAATTAAAATAGGTTTAAAAATAAGGGATAACTTAGTATTCTACAATTATTGTACTCACTACGATACTAGAAAATCCAAACTTCTATTCGTGGCTGATTCAGTGTTGACGACAAAAGATTTGTCTATTGGTCCTTAGTTTTTAATGGTTTTCAAAGTGAAGTCAATACTTAAAATGTAATTATATTCAAGAAATACGAATTATTATCAGAAAGGGGGTTTTATGGAGATTGTAGTAATTTAATAGTTGAATTGATGAGTCGATAAAAGCTAGACCACTATGGGAAACCTGGCAGCACTGGACAGCCGTTTCGTCTTAAAATGGGATTCCTCAGCAATTTGCATCTACTGAGCCGAAATGACCGTTCACTGCTGCCAGATTTTTCAAGGTGATCTAGCTTTAATCGACTCATGAATTCAACTATTATATATACGAATTAATTATAATAAGTGGAATTATCTGTGGTAAAAATATTTTAGCATCTAGAGGCACAGAGTACTTTTATGTGACTAACTAATCGACATTTATTAGTAACCTTAAAACTGTTGAGTTTTTAATTACTTAACTATTGTATTTCGTTTCTAAAGTAGCACCTTTATAATTTGAAATTCAAACGGCATCAATCAGTATACAATCAGTATCGTTCATAGTAAAATATGATTGGAGGATGTTATATATTATCACTATTTATGTCTATTTACTTAAAACAGAAGTCTTGACTACAATTTGTTTATAACTAACGGTTATTTGAGAAATGTTATCGAATATTGATGATAGGCTTGTTGAAGAGTATTTGTCAAGTTTAAAGATTTCAATTATGATCGGTCAAATTTCTTCTAACATTCAGTTTCATAGTATTTACTTAAGTTTCTGTATTAGGGAATTTCCAAACATCTTGAGGTTGGCGGATGATATTTTAATGTTGATTCGAAGATAATTTTCTCTATGAACTGATCCCACTTAATGAATCATTTAAAATCAGAAAGCTCTGGACTGCCATTAAGTTCTGCTTGGAATCTTTTCATGACCCTCAATAACATAGAACTTAGGAACCTTTAATTTCACATAGGAAATGATACTTTTAGGCCACTGAGTTGGAATTTTTTATTCTGAATTTTAAACAGAACTATAGACAAAGATAGATGGTAGATAGCAGTGTAATACGGGATGCGCGTTTCGTCCTATTTCGGACTCGTCAGCTGGATGTACCTGCATCCCAGGGTTGATGTTCACTTATCTCCACGAACCATCCAATAAAATAATATAACTGTGTGTTCAGTGGTGATTCGATTGAAAATGTATTTTTTAATGTGGTGGAACCTTATATTTAGGAGTAAGACAATAACTGAAATCAGAGATTTAGACCTTTACATAAGCATTGGTTCATTGGTACTTTGCTACCCAGAAGGATCTTATACCTTGAATCTCGTCCTATGTGTGCTGTTGAGTACCTACAATATCAACCAAAAAACTTATCCAGAAATCATTTTTGATATATTAATGAGCTTTGGTTATGTTTAGGTTCTCCAAGCGCGGAAGCTTAACTGTAGAAAATATGAAACGCTTCATGATTTTGTGTTTTAATGAGCATTACTGGCATATAATATATAGAGATTATCAATACTATCTACAATATTTACCACTGGATGGACTGTATCAGTATTCCTTGAAACTCAAACTTAATTACTGAGGGCAAAATGAATATGAAATCATATTGAACTCTTGAATCTGTTGACATCGTGAGAAAAATCTTTTTACATGTTAAAATCAGTGGAATTTTTCGAAGACTAATTACCAAAATATTCATTGAACGCTATTTAAGGTATCTCTCTGATATCCAGGAGCCTGATGTCTGTCAATGACTTTTAGTTTCCAAATCCATTAATGATGACCTATTAACTTGGTAACTTAATAAATTAATTTAGTTCTACAATTCATTATAATTAGAATAATAAAATACTCAATTGATGTCTATCAACTAATCGATAAGTGAACAGTTATTTGCAATAGATATCTCCGATCATATAGTATGCACATGTTCAATTACATGAGCATGACAAGAAAATACTATCAGTTTAGTAGATATACATACACGCATCTAAGCATACAAACACACACACACACACTCACATGAAGTACCGTTTCGTAATCAAATCAATATTCAGTCGAAAATATTCTGTTAATTTCTTATCCTCAATATCATTTGAAAAGAACCGGTGGAATTTAAAACAATTTAGATCTTATCAACAATAAACAACTTAGTTCATTATAATAATACACAAAACAAGCCTAGATTCATTGCTAATGGTATTATCAATTACACATTACATTCCAATGAAAGTAAAGAAATGTCATTATTGTCACTTGCTGTTGTTAGTAACAACATCAAAGTAATCATTAATAAATATTACTCTATGTGGGTCAGTCAACCACTTCATTATCGATTATCGATTATTATTATTGCTCACTTATTTTAGTCTGAGTATACAAATATTTTTGGTAATTTTTTTTATAATATAAATATGAAAGTTATGATCAATTTTGTTGAAATATTGGCATTATTACGTCATATATGTGTACTTATTAGCTCGTGTATTAGTTCATTTACATTTTTAAAAAAAAAACTAAAAATGATATTGAGAACTTACGCAACTGTCACCAAATCAACAATTTTCATCGTCTGTTATCAATGTAGAGATTTGTAGAGGCTATAAAGTTCAAATGAACAATAAATAAGAACATTCATTTACTCTTGATTAATTTATAGCGTAGGTGAAATGTCTGTCTACAAACTGGTTTTGTAATTTGTACAACACTCTATTCTGTATTATTTTGTGTTAATAAAATATGATTTTCAAAAGTTAAAGACTTTGATAGGCTATAGGTTTTGATTGAGAGTGAATTCAATGCACTGATCGCTTCCGATAGAATAATCTATTAAGGAATGTTGACGTTGGACATGATGCACTAGGCAAAAATGATAATCACCATCGGTTAAGGGGATTAAGATGTTTGTCGCGTATATGTAATCACCATTTACATCTAAGTTCAATGTTTGTTGATGTAAAAGTGGGTTGGAAGAAAGCTAAAGACAGCCAAGTCAAGAAATGACATCAATTGATGAGGTCATCAGTTGTTTTTATAACCATGTAAGTAGATACAGACTATCTGGTAAACACATTCAGTGATTGGAGATAGTGTGATATGGCTCAGAATCGTTCACATTGTTACAGATACCTTCATTTACAATCTTCCCATCCATCTCAAATTCTTTCATGTATACCCTTCTAATATATCCGTTAGAATCCTATTGTTAATGGTTGGTCTTTTTCATAGTCATTGTTAATACCTTACTCCGATCACTTTTGAAATACATCTTGACAATTTCATCTCATTGTACTAATATGGTATGACAACATCAGCCATCGTGACATTTGGCAAGGGATCAGTCAAAAATTTCGGAGAGCAAAACAACTTTTGAATTTTCATGGCTTATTAACAGTATATATATTCACAACCTTACATAAGACCGAATCTAGGATGCTTAAATTTCACGGCAGCCATTTAGACAAAAAGTTGGAATTATATACTTTACATTTTATAGTTTGCTAGGTTTATAGTATAGTAGGATCATTGCTTATGTATAGATATGAATATATTTCATTCTCAACAATCAGTCAGTATTCATTAGTAGGTTAAATGAGAAATGTCCACCAATGATACCATGAGCTCAGATCTAATTTTAATAAAATCGAATTTCCAACTATGACCAACTTTAATTATAAATAAATGTAAGACATTTTCTTTGTCATTGTACTGCATTTTGCATTTGTTCATGTTAGAAATATACTTCTGAATTGGCTCAGATACTGTTTTAACAATTCAAAGTCATGCAAATATAAGCATCTAACAATAGAAGACATGAAAGTAATTGTTGAATTCAGTTTGAAACTAGACTAATAGGATGTACCTTAGTGATTTTTGGTTTAATAATGCCTACAACCTTTTTTTAATTACTGAAATATTGGCTTAAATGACTGCACTGACCGAATAATGGCCAGTCATATTATAATATGAATAGCTCCTAGATGATAAGTGTAATCGATAGTCTTATCCATTAACTTTTGATGCCGAGACAAACCAATATATTCCTTTGAATACGCAAACATAAAAATACACTAGACTTACATTTCGTATTTGATGACTCTAGCAGCCATAATTATGAGAGTTGCTTGATTAGCACTAGTGTTTAGACATCAATTAGTTAATCATTTATTATTTAGTAAGCTACTAATTTACACAATCTAATCCTTGTGGAAAGCATCTGTACTTTGTTTGGCTCAGGTGTATAAACAAAACTTGTTTTATGAATCTTGACAAGAACAAAATCTACTTTTATCAAAGTTTCCGAGACATAGACATTCGATTTCTACAAATATATCTTCTAAATGAAATTAGACAGATAATTCTTTTTATTTCTAGCTACATTATGAGAAGTGGATTCAACTTTCCAACTTCTTTCTCTCTCTCTCTCTCTCTCTCTCTATATATATATATATATATATATATATATATATATATATATATATAAACGTTTATGCTTAGAAACATTACTATCAGTGATTTGAATGCGGTACTAAGAGAATTAACTGTTCATTAAACGAGTAGCATCATTTCTAGACATCTATATATTTCTTTTTAAATGAAATGGTGTTGTGTATTGTTCAGAATTATTATCTAACTTTCAATAAACTTTCTATAGAAGATTATTTTAAAGATGATATAATCGATGTAACAAGACTTAATGTAATGGAAAGAAAATGCTGAAGATCCCTCCTCACCATTTTTGTTGGACTGTCATTTAGTTGTTTCTTTTCCCTGTCGTGTATTTTAACCTTTGTTCAGATCTCTTTTAAACACACGTTGTGTTCTTCAGTCTTCTTTGTCTGAGCTTTTATTGTATGATTTTGATTAAAGACTTACCTTTTGTTATCTAATTTTTTTGGTTGTATGTTGCTGAACTATTGATAATAAGGTCGTGTTTGACTAAGCTCAAAGTCACATCGTGGTTCAGTATGTGACTGTTAACCTTCGACTGTCTGTTTGGAAAGATTGCTGGAATCCCTGCAGATAGATATATGATCCCATCTTCTTGGGAATATTTTTATTGATTCCCAGGTATTGAACTCTTTTGTATTAACTGTTTCGTTTGTTGTTTAGCACGTTAATATTTGTTAGAGAAACCCTTGACTATATAGCACAGGCTGTACCGTTTGAGGTATTTTGTATTTTTGATATAATTTGTTCTATTTCTTAAATTAGAACCGTTTAAATTAAGCATAGAGTTTGTGTTTTGATATAATTTAATATGAGTAACTCAAAAACGCTTCGTACATTATACGAAAGAATGTAGTCTGATCTAATCAAAAATTTTTGGTTCTTTAGTTCTGCGTTCAAACCGAATATTGGCATTTCGGTCGTTACACCTATAGTTAGGAATATTCTTTAGATTCATGTTTAAGAAAGAAAGCCTTAGGTACTGTTGTTATAATCATGAATATAAGAAATAACAATCAAATGAATTTACCGCTAAAGATCACTTGTTAAAGATTAACTGAAATGAAAGACTTCAATTAAAATGTTATCATGAATAATTTTTGATGTCTTGTTCAAGTATCTAAGTTACCTATTACATAACTGTTCAATTGTTACAAAACATATCCGTGTCTTAGATTTGTTTCAACTAAATAATTCTGTTAACTAGCTCTTATGACAAAAAATTACAATATTCACTGAATAAATTAAAATCTATGCATTGAATAACCGAGAAAAAAAGAAGAAAGTCACAGGAATAAAATGAATTGAAGATGTCTGAGAGTTAACACTATCAAAAACTGATCAATCATAAACTGATCGAGGTCGAATATATGAACCATTGAAATTTTAGTCAATAGCTGAATGTTATTTCACTTAATATACGATCCGAAACTCCTGGATACTGTTTCACATGGAACAATGAATACACACTGATAAACAACTAGATAAATTTTATATAAATTATCTAATAAATAGTCAGGTTAAATAAGAAATTAAAATAAATTATACTGGGGTTCTCGGAAATATATTAATTAAGAAAACGTTTCTACGGTAGCTATTGTTTACCTTTTCTAAGATACCATCTTTAAATATAGGAAATGATCATGAAAATGCTGATTAAAAAGTATATATTCCAACTTTTAAATGTTAATCTACAATAAATAACAGTGATATTGATATCGATAGATATAAATAGTATGTACAATCAATCGAAAGTGAAATACCTGGCAGTAGAAGGTTAAGAAGATTGAAGAAACAGAACGAGAACAAAGAATGATTGTTGTGGAAATGAAGGAACAATGAAGTCTAAGATGGTTGATGGACATTTTACAAATGAAGTACTTACTGTATGATTCTCAGATTTTACTAAGATGTTCTGTAATTTTCTATTCAAATACATTCGATTGTCAGTTTAGGGGTTGTGAAGATTGTTAAGTTTTTGAATGAGATCATGTACTGATTGATGTTAGACCACCATTGAAAACCTAGAAGCACTGGGCGGCCGTTTCGTCCCATTGTGGGGCTCTTCAGCAATGCACATCTACGATCCCCCTTGCGGGATTCGAACCCAGGGTCTTCAGTCTCGCTCTCGAACGCTTAACTTACTGGACCACTGATCCGGCCAGCTTTTAGTGGTGTTAATATCTAACGTCAACCAATCCACGAAGTTGGATTGTCCCTGCTTGTGTTCTCCTTCACTTCATTGACTAAGATTATTTGTACTCTGAGCAGGTTCATAATAAAATGTTTTCACTTTACTGTAATTTGATGAAAGCTCTATTCTCTGATTTAAGTGGATATAATTGAATGTATGGAGCTAGTTATGACTGTTAGTGAAAATAGGCCTTTTATTTATTCAAAACTTCCTTATTTGTGTGCAGCAGAAAACTATTAGGGACTAAGTAAATCAGTCAGTCAGTCAGTCAGCTACAACGTAGGACCAGGCACATATATGCATCGGTCCAAGTTGCCATACCTCATTAACACAACAAGATGGACACCGGATTCATAAAAGTAGTTAATTCAGAGGTGGTAATATATAAAAGAAAGATTGCAATAAGGATATAGTACACGGAGAGAGAATTAGTTCATAGAAAGAAAGATATGAAGCAATTTTAATCTCTTAGTTTAAGGGAAGATAGAGAGTGTATACACCTACGCCATTATGATCGATTCTGAGTCATGTCACAATCAGTCTCCAACCATTGGTTACGACAGTCACGCGGACCCCAACCAAGTAGTCTGCATCTACCAACATGGCTCAGACTAGAAGTTAGTGACTTCAAGCACTGATGCCACGTTTTGGTTTGGCCACCCCTAACTTCCAACCATCTCCATTGCGTGTCGAGGTAGTCGGTGTTCAGACATATGCAACAAGTGGCCCAACCATCTCAGTCGATGAAGATTCACAACCTCATCAACTGATTTACCATCATTCCCTAATACCTTGTGTCTAACCTGTGTCTAACCAGTAAGAACTTGAAATTCATTTTCAATAAAACAGCATCTAGTCTCCATTATATAAAGTACACTTAACGATGAAGAATCGAGTTCTTTGAGGGATTCTTTAAGGTGAAAGTTAGAACAAGTGAAAGTGTAATAAGATAAAAAG